TTAAATTCAAGACCATCAAATGCTGTTCCCACCGTGCGGGCAGAGATTTAATTTCGGTGTGTTGTCAAAATCTGATATGTTTCTATTGTACTACTTCCTCTGTTAAAACAATTGTTTTGCACTGACTCTTCAGACCTAGTGGTATAGTTACAGTGCATTCTTCTTTCCCGGTAGGGTGCAAAACCTGTCCTTGCAAAATAGGTAAAAAAAAAAAATTAAAACAATTGTTTTTTATTTTAAATTAATTATTATTTTTTATTTTTTGTAAATAAATAAATATTATTTTTATTTTTTAGTAAAATTATTTTTTAATAAAATCTAAATATAATAATTTATTAATAAAATTTTATATTTATTTTTAATTAAATGATACTAATTTCCTCCTTTTGCACTATTGTTTATATAAATTTTACTATGTTTAGCTTAAGATTTTATGCATTATCTTCTCTTTTCTATCCGGCTATCGTAAGTTTAGGAAGAAATGAGAAGGACGATTGCAGAAGGATGATGAAATACATTTCATTTGTTTTTTAAAGGAAAAAACGAGTTTTTATCAAAAAAAAAAAAAAAAGGAATAGCGAGTTCAGGGCTGTTTGTGGGGAAGTGAGCCTAATTTTTAATGGACAATGAGCGCACGAGTGAAAATGTCTTGGTGGGTTGGATTGGAAATTAGATGGGGTTGTATCTTGGTGGGCCTACAGTCATTGCGGACTAGTTATATACTTGGGTTTTTTCTAGTTCATAGGTGAATCTAATGGGTTGGATAGAGGTTAGATATTGGTGAATATTTGTAGTTGGTGATTTCTGATGGGCCTGAATTGTCAAGGACTTCATTTTCCATAAAGTTGGAGATTTCAACAAAACTCCTGTTCTCACAAATATGGGGTGTTTGGGAAAGCTTAAGGGGCTTGCATTTGAGTCTTTTATTTATTCATGTAAAATTAAAAAGAATTAGGTAGAACGAAAAAACAAAAAGAAGAAAGAAGCTAGTTTATCACCTTATGCTTGTTTTCTTTTTCACATCATTATTTTTAAAAATGTGTAATTTTTTTAGTAATTTAATGGGCAACCTTTCTCTTCTGCTTTTTAATGACAAAATTGACATCAAAAGTTGAAATTTAATGACTTTTAAGTACTTTTTAATGTTTAAAAACTAATTTTAATACAAATTTAAGAGTTGAGAGACTTAATTTAATATTTTAACCCAAAAATTAATTATGATCCCAAAATTTCAACCGTTGTTCACCCCGTGGTAGGCTGGTGTCTCTTTCATCATACCTAAACACCATATACAATATAGGGGAGAAGTGTTATGCACGTGCCTCTTTCATCATACCTAAATACCAAATACGACATAGGGGCGAAGTGTTTTTCATATCCTACTTGGGGCTTAGGGCTTATTTGGTGTCGTTTATTGAAGTTTTTGTTTTTTTATTATTATTATTATTTATAAGT